CTCATGTTTGTGTGTGTGTGTGTGTGTGTGTGTGCTCGTGTTTGTGTGTGTGTGTGCTCATGTTTGTGTGTGTGTGTGCTCATGTTTGTGTGTGTGTGTGTGTGCTCATGTTTGTGTGTGTGTGTGTGTGTGTGTGTGTGTGTTTGTGTGTGTGTTTGTGTGTTTGTGTGTGTGTGTGTGTTTGTGTGTGTGTGTGTGTGTGTGTGTGTGTGTGTTTGTGTGTTTGTGTGTGCTCATGTGTGTGTGTGTGTGTGTGTGTGTGTGTGTGTGCTCATGTTTGTGTGTGTGTGTGTGTTTGTGTGTGTGTGTGTGTGCTCATGTTTGTGTGTGTGTGTGTGTGTGTGTGTGTGCGCTCATGTTTGTGTGTGTGTGTTTGTGTGTTTGTGTGTGTGTGTGTGCTCATGTTGTGTGTGTGTGTTGTGTGTGTGTGTGTGTGTGTGTGTGTGTGTGGGTGTGTGTTTGTGTGTGTGTGTGTGTGTGTGTGTGTTTGTGTGTGGGTGTGTGTTTGTGTGTGTGTGTGTGTTTGTGTTTGTGTGTGTGTGTTTGTGTGTTTGTGTGTGTGTGTGTGTGTGTGTGTGTTGTGTGTGGTGTGTGTTGTGTGTGTGTGTGTGTGTGTGTGTTTGTGTGTGGGTGTGTGTTTGTGTGTGTGTGCTCATGTTTGTGTGTGTGTGTGTGTTTGTGTGTTTGTGTGTGTGTGTGTGTGTGTGTGTGTGTGTGTGTGTGTGTTTGTGTGTTTGTGTGTGTGTGTGTGTGTGTGTGTGTGTGTGTGTGTGTGTGTGTGTGTGTGTGTGTGTGTGTGTTTGAGAGAGAGAAATGCACTGAGCTAGGAGACGATTCGTCTTATCAGAGCATAAAGGTATTTGGAGTAGGTGAGAGTGGGTAAAAGTTGTCCAACTCTGGAAGGCGCTTTATTAAAATCTGAGCTGATCTCATCTCAGGTTTCTTATTCTCTCTCATAACATTAGAAGAAAGCTAACTGTGCTTTATGTTGGTGGTTTCACACATGCTCAAAACTCCTGAAAACTTCCTGGATTTTTTTTTTTAATTTTTGACTCCGACTTTACCCAGAATTTTTTTCTGCCGTCCCCATTTTTCCGTTTGAATTTGGGGTAAGCCAATGTGAGAACACAGCAGGAAATATTCAGTGAACAAGTGGGAGGGAGTGATGACGTTAAAATCAGGTGACAGGTGAGCAACCGATGCGAGTGATAAAGCAGCTTCATTCTCTTTGCTGCTCAGACGAATTGTTTTCTTATTTCACACCTAAGTCAATAAACACGTAGCATTGATATAAAGGCAGCGAAGGACTCTGTTGCTTTGTCTGCCTTTTATATAACCTTCTTTTAAAGTCATGTCCTGTCCCCTACCCCATATCCCATCTTGGGATAATTACCAAGGTGTATGTAATAAAACTTTAAGTATGATCAAATTGTATAATTTCTGCACATAATAGAGGGTGTATTTTGATATGTAAACCAAAATTATTTGACAAAGCAAGCTTATGAAAAAGCTAGAAATAGCACATAAGTCACTCTGGTGGTCTTTGCTTTTGCTGCTAACGTTGGTTGTAGCCGAAGATATCCGTTAATCTAAAATTAGCTAAGAAGAGCAATTATTAATAATTAATGATCACTTATATCAGAATCATTATATTTGTTTTTGTTTTTTCTCCATCTATCTTTTAAACTTTATTTCAGTCCAGGTTCCTCGTTGGCTGTGGTTCAGTGTAAACTAGTTGTTTATGTGTTGTCACTGCACACAGCAGTCCATACACAACAATTTATTTGACTGTGATGTTGAATTCTGCTTCGGTGATTTGTCAGTCTGTGAGCCTGTATTTTCCCGTTTGCCTGCCTGTGTGTGTGTGTGTGTGTGTGTGTGTGTGCGCATGTGTGTGTGTGTGTGCGCGTGTGTGTGTGTAAACGGGAGTCGCCGATAATCGTGAGAACTGGAGTTTGAGTCCCAGGAGAAATGAACTTGATCTTAGCTGTACAAGGAATAGCTCTGGAGCTACAGGACGGATATAAACACCACACCACACACACACACACACACACACACACACACACACACAAACATTCCGATAGATGATCCATGATCCTTCCACAGGTTCTGATCCTCTTAGATGCAATCGATCCTATTAATGTATGGAATGTGCTGCACGGTAATGAGCTTTTGTTACTTAAAGGTATAGTGTGTAGAATTGTACGACAATGTTTACATTCAAGTATACTTAACACTAGCTTTATGAAAATGAAAAAAAATGCGTCATACACACACATGTACGTCTCTATAGACCCAAATGACACAAAAAAAAGTGTGTGTGAAAGGGAAAAACATGAATAAAGGAGGGAGAAAATTGTGAAAAATTGTGAGCTGACAAGGAACAACAATGCTCCCTTTGATCAAGGCCTGAGAATCCCTGTGCCTTTCTTTCAGCTCATTACACACAAAAACACACTCAGGCACACACACAAACACACACTGTCATAACTGATTAGAGGACGTCAGACTGTTACATTTAGGTCCATTGATAGCGCCACAATACCACAACAGTGCTCAGGAAGATACTGCTCTCTTGTTGTGCTCTTGGCACGGCGATGGTTGAGCCGAGGGAGAGAACAAGACAAAAGTCAGGCCTGACCTCTTTCACGTACAGTAGCCAGCTCGTTTTCTTCTTACATCATGTTGAGGGAACATTGTTAAAATGTTAAACTGCCAGCAGGTTATCTGTCTGATATTATATTTTCACAGCTTCTTAATTGATGAGGAAAAACTCTGAATGGACATTAAATTAGCAAACATTACGTTAACTAACGCAAGCTCTTGTCAGACAGTAGCTCAAAGGTCAACAGATAAGCTGTTTGAATTATAAATATTGCTCAATTTCCCTCCAGATTTTAACTGTCCATCTCCTTGTAAATTTAAAAAACTAGATCAGAGCACAAGGGCATTATTACAGCATTTAAGCTTCTCACCAGCGTGATGTTAAAGGAAAATGATGACTATTATGAATTAAATATTGTAAAGTTACACCATTTTTTTCTGTTGATGACAACTTGAAAAAGAGAGCATACCGTACAAGCTCCACGTTGAACATATTTTCTTAATTTACTGCCTTTTTGGAAGATATTTACATGTAAATGGAACTTTAATAAAGCTGATTATGGGTCTACATAGGTAAGCTTTTCCAAGAAAGAGTGACATGAAGTCCAAAAACAGAAAAGAGATAAAGTCAAGGTTATGAGTCCTTATATCCTGCCTTGTAAGTCAACAAGAAAGAAATGTGTGTTTGTGCAGCATGTGTGTGAAAGAGAGATAGAAAGCGCAGATGCTGTGTGTGCCAGCAACCACACAGGACCTACAACAGGAAAACATGTTCTTGTTTTGACGATCCTGCGTGCACAAGCACACGCATACACTTAAGAAAATCAATCTGAGACACCAGGCTGAAAAGACCAACAAATGTTCTTTTTTTGTGTTTCTTTTTGTCCACCAAACCCTTTTTCTTACATTGCAGCCTTTGTCAGGAAGTGAAACTTTATCCAAAATATTTGTTTGGTATGTTGTGTCTCTACATTTGTTCATGTTCAGTTCAAGATAAGAAGTCAGAAAAACAATCTTGTCATAAGTTTTGCACAATGAGTTTCTTAAAATGCAAAACTGAATTTGTTTCTGCATCAGTGAATACCAAAATGACTAGATCTATGTTATAAACCAGGATTTTGTTCAATTGTATACTCGTATTATTCCAATATTAAAACCCAGGGTAACTCATCTTTTTTAAGGACAGTTTGTTTCACTTTCTCTTTTAGGGACATGTCAGAAAACGCGTAATAAAGCCAGCTTTATTATGCGTAAGTGTAACATTATTAAAAGTAAATAAGCTAACTAGTCAGTGAAAATCTTGGTGGACATTTTGCCATATTTAAAGATAAAACAACAAATCTGATAACTCATTAGCTAACATGAGACGACAGCTAACAATGACATTCAACAATTTATTTAGCTGACAGCTAACTCGTCAGCATACAGCCTAACCAGTTATCTGGCTAAAACTTGACACTGCAGCAGCTAATGGTAATGCTAAGATAAGTTAATCCTTTATTTATGCCACAACGGGGAAATTTACAGTGTTACAGCAGCAAAGAGCAAAGATTGCAAACAAAAAGTGAACACAGTTCAATTTAAATATAAAAAGAAAAAATAAGAATGTACAAAAAAGTAGATACTAAAAAATAGATTTAAAAAATAAAAAATAGATCAGCTATTTGACAAAAGTGTAGTCCGTAATAACTAACTAGCTAATGTATTTGATGTTGTGTTGTTTAAGTCATGGCAGCTAGGAAGTGGTTGATGCTTTAGTTGTTACTTTAACTTGAATGACTCCCTGTACATTAATAAATACATTGTCCATTATGTTTACAGTTCCTGGAAGCAGTGAAATGACAATGATTTTGCAGATTACCTTTTTATAACATTATAGAGTACACTTACAACCATGAGTGCGAAATCAGAGAAACAGTGGTAAATGGTGGTTGGTTAACATAAAGAAAAATCCCATTAATTGAAGAGACTTTGCAACGTCATTGAAATACATCTTGTCTTTTTTTTTTGATGTGAGACCCCTACAACATGACCTTGTGTGTTAAATCAAGTTGCCTCCTGCTCAATATACATTTTAATGTAGACTCGCTTCCTATTTCTAACGTTTTTGAAATACATTTGAATAGTTCTGATATAGAGTCCCTTTACACTAAAATGGTCCTTGAAGGGTTTAGAGATGTTAGCAGGATGTCAAGTTGTTGTGTTGCATGTTGTAGACTTTTGGCAATCTGTTGTTTTAATGACTTCTAGTTGAGGTTTTTGGACCACTGTCTGCTTTTTATTCTTCTTAATTCCCTTTCTCTCGAATGCCCCTGTGATGGTGCAGAGTTAATAGACCGTTACAACGAACTGCTATGGGAAATGTGTGTGTGAAAGATGTGAATGAGCCGTGATGCCCGTGTGTTATGATGAGCTGTCGGCCTACATGTGTAATCAAATAACACAGCTGACTGAAACAGACACACCTGTGGCCCCTGCATGAGAAGCACACATGCAAATTAATGTGTCTGTGTGTGTGTGTGTGTGTGTTTATTGTTCGTGTATGTGTGTCCAATCTTGACGTATAAAAAGTGGTTTCGTAACATCTCCAGATGTGTTTTTTTCCCTGTAAGCCGGGATTGAGAGATTTACTTCCTGATTACATGGCGTACATAACACACATGCTCACACTCAGACACACACACTCACACACACACAGATGTTACATTGTCGGTAGTGTATTACAATGAGACAAATAATGCAAATGTATTTCATGGTTAGTGGTCAGTGGTATCCTGTTGTTGTAGTACAGGAAGTGTGACATCATCGGTTGGCATAGCACCACAGACGGTCGCCGAAGAAACGATGAGGAACACAAGAATTCAGACAGCGTGATGTGGATTAGAGACCTGTAAATCCGCCAAGAATGACCATCACACACATACACACACACACACACACACACACACACACACACACACACACACACACACACACACACACACACACACACACACACACACACACACAGTAACATTTTTACTTATGAAACATTGATTGTTTTAAATCAAGTTTTACATCCATCACATGAATAACTCCCCTCTTTCTTTTTCTTTTTTCTTTCTTTCTTTCTTTCCTTCTTACTTTCTTTCTTTCTTTCTTTCTTTCTTTCTTTCTTTCTTTCCTTCTTTCTTTCTTTCTTTCTCCCCTCACCTCCCTCTCAGGTTTATGAACTCGAGGGTCCCGGCCAGTAAAAGATACCAGCCCACTGACTACGAACATGCTGCCAACTGTGCCACACATGGGGTGAGCAAAACAAACACAAATCGACAAAGTAGGAACACACACTTTCAGAGTAGATTCTAGCATCTATGCTGATTTTTTTGGTGTATTATCATTTGGGTTAAATGTGTGTACAGATGGAATTAAGACGTCTCTGTTTGGGGCTTATTGTGTATCTCTGTATTAAGCTTATTTGTGACCATTATGCAATCTTATAGTATTTCCATATACCTTATAATGATGTTATTATGTGTCCAAAACTTACCTAGAAAGTGTAATAAAGGGGAAATGTTTGAGTCAATGAAACAATACTTTCCAAACCATTTTAAAGAAATCTCATCAGTGATATATTTGCTGGTTTAATGCCTCTGCAAATTAATTCAGCTTGGTTTATTCAAACAGGCTTCCACATGTAGTATATGTTTCCAATCCTAGCTCTGGATTGGTGCAGTCACCTCTTTATATGAAGTTCATTTTCATTTATTTTGCACGAGACCATTAGATCTTATTCTGCTTTTTAAATTTAATTGATGGAATGTCTGGTCTTTTATCTTGATATTGAGTCAATAAATAGCGTTTAAATTGAACTGGGTTTGTCCATTTAGAGATGCCTATTAAAATGTAGAGGATTGGTATGAACTAGGTGAAAAACGAAGGATTTTTTGGCTGTGCCGGAGAGGCAGTCGGCTAAAATCTGTGCCTGTAGCTTTCTCTAATCTGCTGTAATCCCTGTGGGCTTCTGCCTCTGACAGAGGGAGACAGTGAATGAAACAGACCGAAATAGATGAAAGAGAACATGAAAATAATGACTGAAGCTTAAAAAGAGCTGAGGCTTTATTGAGAAATAGTTCAATGATTCTTGTCGTTATTCATTCATTCACTCTGCCATCTTTTGCAAACAAGTATTACATCATCAGTTACAATATCAGTTAAAGGAATAGTTTTATATATATGTTTGAAAAATATTTGCTTTAATGTAGAGTTCAAAGAGAAGATTGATAACACCTCAACTGTAAGGAGTTTGTTAGTTTAGCATTTAGAATGGGAGCGGGAAAAACAGCCAGCCAGGCACTGTTATCGGACAGTAGTTCACGCCTCAGGACCCACCACCAACTCTTTAATGACAAATCACAACCCACATTTCTGATATATATATATTTTTTTATCAGCATATTTTTATTAAAGCAAGTTCAAAACATACAGTGCAATTGGGATGCAGTCAACATTTGTCTTTTTTTCCTCAGAAACATTCAAAAACCCAGTATCACTTCGCCCTATAAACAACCCTCCCACACCAACAAATAGACCTCTTAGTTTAAAGACAAGAATAAAAGTGCAAGATTGGAAAACTCACAGAAAAAAAAAAAAAAAAATACAATAACCAAATAAAATAAATAAATAAGCGTGAAAAAATAAAAGTACATTTGAGAGTAGTATCAAAAATATATATATATATATTGCTAATAATTAATAATAATGAAAATTGACAAGACAAACATAAATAAAAAATGAATAAATAAATGAACAAACAACATTAACAGGAATGGAAGTCATTATGTGTATACAACATAAGTAAATAGGAAAAACAGTATAACCTGTAAAAGAGACAAAATCACTCACACACACTGCTCAACTTGATCTATAAAAGGAAAGACAACAGCTGCTCACATCCAGGCTACCACGTAAGCGGCTGAAGAACCCGCGTTCAGAAAGAAGTATAGTCAGAACATAAGGGAGGGAGGCGGGAGAAAGAGGAGGGGGATTTCTGATATTCTTTAACCAATGAGATTAATACAGTGAAATGTAGTGCAGTTTGGAGCTCAGATGGTACAAAACGTGAAAAAAAACAAAGATACAAAACAAAACAAACCCTTTTTCCTCTTAGGCCCGCCTTTTGGACCCACTGACAACGGCTCTGCGACCCACTTTTGGCTCTTGACCCACTAGTTGAGAACCACTGCTATAGGCTACCTATTAGCAATTCATAAAACAGCAAATGACACTCACTATATAAAAGATGATTACTCGGCTAGAAATTTCCAGTTAATATGCTAACCTAAGCAGTCTTAGGCTGAAATCGCTCTATCGTGGTATAGTAGTAGCTTCTTATTTAGCCTGAATTTGGGAGTCAGACAATTTGACATCCTGGGGAACAATGTATTTGATTTGTTGTTGTGATTTTAAAGAGAAGATTGAAATGTAAAGGTTATCTCGAAGTGTGTGCATTATGAGGTAATAAAACTATAATGCTGTGTCTTTCTGATCTTTCCTAGTTGTGGATCCTCCCCAGTCTTGTGGGGGGGTCTGTGCTCTACTTCCTGTCTGTGGACCAATGGCATTGTGTTGCTGCCTGGCTCTACGGGAGCGGTCTCACTGGCCTGTTTGTCACCTCAACTCTCTTCCACACCGCTGCCTGGAAAATCAGCCACCTCCGGTATATTTGTGTGTGTGTGTTTGTGTGTTTCTGAGAAAAAAACACTCAGGGGTTTTATGTCTTTATTTCCCACTCAGACGTACAGTTTGTTAATTACAGCACAGCTAGTGGGCCAGAGATCAAAGAACAGATGTGACCTGGTAATGAATGTACTTAACATCTTCTTCAGCTCAAATCCTCTAAAAAAAAACTAAACAGTGAAACACACGTTCATGCACAGACTATAGGATTTTCAACACTTTTCATTTCCAAATTCACTTTCAACTTTTCTGCCAAAACCCTTTCCGTTCAGCTCTTTCGTATTTCTGTAAGTCCAGTTTCTGAATGCAGTCAAGGGCTTTATTGAGGATGTGTGCCAGATCGGTTTGTTCAGCAGTCAATTGGACATGGTCACGGCAAAATCTATTGATCATCTTTCCCATCTCACGGCACAGTCCTTGCAAAATTGTTTCTGTGGCTAAATTTTCTGTCTAAGCGCCACACGAAGAGCAGAAATGTCTCCTCAAAAGTCTGGCGATCTAGCGTTGTGTGAGAGTTTAAGTTCCTCTTGAAGTAGTTGTTAGCTCATTTATTTCTGGCTTCTTTCTTGAGGAATTTAAGGTGGACAGTGAACTTGGGTGTGTAACGACAAAATGATGTAACTATGGTCGAATAAATGTGCAAAATAAGTGACAATCTAGGGAGAGATTAGGAACATGTCTACTTCAATCCTCAAATCCCGAGTGCTCAAATCTTTTTTATATTTAAGTCTTTAATGGATTTGTGTGTGACATGTTGTATGTCTATTTTCCTTTTTGCTTAGGCCTGTTGTAATTATAAATTTAATGTATTTTATTGTATTTTAAATCTTAACGATTGCATTTTAGGTGGAGGTGAGGTGGTACAGCTGGAAATTAGCCGTAAAGGCTAAAGCTGCTTCTTTTACTGTCGTTTGAAATTAAAGGTGGACTGTCCACGAAACAATAAACAAATAAACTAAACTAGATATAGAAATGACCGTCATTATCACTTGTGTTTTCAGTTACTAATCAATCGAGAAGCATCAAAATGATAATGTATTTCCAAGTTCTCCATTTTCATCTATTTGCAACCCAGAGCAGTAAGCAGTATGACTTAAAAGCATTACATCTTCACACCCTAAGAGTGTCAATAAAGGAAAATGGCACCTGTGTGATTAGGGGGAAGTCTCTGTCCAATAGTTTTTTTGTAGAGTTAAGTGTTAATAAATTAACATTAGGCGATGAAAGATAAATAACGGTCTCCCATCTCTCCTCCGCTTTGTCTTATTTAGGAAGGTGGAGCAGCGTTTCCACATGTGCGACAGGATGGCCATCTACTTCTTCATAGCTGCCTCCTACTCACCCTGGTGGGTCATGTTTCTGAAATCATTTGCAGTCTGGTGGATAACACACGGCTAAGAAATCAAAAAGTGAACTTTGCTGATGTGTTTCCCTCAGGTTAATGCTGAGGGAGCTGGGACCCTGGGCGTGCCACATGCGTTGGCTGATATGGGTCATGGCTTGTGTTGGATCCATGTATGTCTTCCTTTTCCACGAGAGGTAAGGACAAAAGTCTCTCTTTGTGTCTCACAGCGTGTCCTGGTGTGACATAATTAACCAGAAACCAAACTCCTGTCCTTGAATGTTTACTGCAAACACTGAACTGCTGTTTGAAGCATAAAACAATTACATCAAATTGTTTTTTCTTTCCTGCAGGTACAAGCTGGTCGAGCTGTTTGGATATGTGGCCATGGGGGCTGTTCCTGCTTTGGTCATCCTGTCTATGGTGAGCACCAACCACACAACTGTGTAACCAGTGTGTCTTCTCTTCAAACAGGCTTCCTGCTATTGTTTGTGTCTCAGATCGTGTCAGTATTTAAAGAAACAAACTTTTTTTTTTTTGTTGTTGAGTCCATTACAGAAATACCACATGCTTTTACCGTAATGTATCTGACAACTATTTTCCAAAGTGTATATTTTTAGCTTGACTTCCTTTTTCTCCACAGAGCCAACAGTTTCTGTTTACGTAAAAACAACTTGGTTTTAGAACAAACCTTTAAGATTTACAGATATTTGTGATTTGTGCCATGTACAGTATGTGGGTGTGAAAATGTCTTCTGGCCATGTTTGGATACATTTTGATTAATCTAATTCCTCTAATCTTTTGCTAAACTAATTTTTAATGAAGTGACAAAATATGGACGAGAGATCAAGTACAGTGACTCCGATTAGCAGACAGCGTTTTGTACTCACTCAAAACGGCCACATGCATAATTATAAATTACACATAACTTGAATTCTTAATGTAATACAGACTGTTTGGATACATATCAATTCAACCTCTGTACTGTTGTCATGAGTGGGGAGACTTGCAGTGAGAAGCTAAATTGGGGGCGCTGGGTAACCTAGCGTTTCAGTTGCGTACTCAATATACGGTCCTCGAAGCGGAGCGGTCGGTGTTTGAGTCCGACTCCTGGCTCTTTTCCTGCATTTCCCCATTATCTCTCCCTGATATCCTAATTTATACACTGTCCTCTTAAATAAAGGTAAAATAGAATAAAAAGTTACGCTAATTTAATGCTCATTTATACGTCAGCATGATAACGCGGGAGCCTGCGCATGGTGACCCTTGGACTCCTAAGCCTATTACTGTAAGAAATCTACATCATAGTTGTGTCATTGTGAGCATGTTTTGGCACGATGAGATTAGCATTAAGCTAATAACGTAAGCTTGTTTACTAAAGCAGTCCTCTGGGTCTTTGTTGACGTAAAGAGAGTAAAGCATTTTTCCTGTTTGCAGATAGAAATAATACATGTTTTTTTTAAAGTAAGAATTGTCCGAGCTCTATATTCATCTATAAACCAAACTCTGATACGACTGTTTGAAATGTTCCAGGTGGAGCGAGCAGGCGTGTGTGAGCTAGCAGTGGGAGGAGTCTTCTACGTGGTGGGTGTGGTCTTCTTTAAGAGCGATGGCCTCGTCCCTTTCGCCCACGCCATCTGGCATCTTTTTGTCGCAGCAGGAGCGTGCATCCATTACTACGCCATCTGGAGGTACCTGTACTTACCCGGGCCACTGCTGCAGACGTCAAGGTGACTAGCGGCACTACAACACGCCGACTTATGAGGCTACACCTCAAGAGATGCTGCTGAGATGATCCAACAGGTTGGATTAATCTCCCACCGGTGGGACCAAACACTCTTAGTGATAAACTACGAATCACTTCAACATTTTAAAAGTGAAATAGGAAGCAGCCCTGGATATATTATAACATGTAATCGCTAAATGGGGGATTTCTTTTGCAGAGAGGGCAACAAAGACAGTGCAAGAAATTTTAGACGACTGATGTTTGATTCAAAAACATTTTGGGAAATTAAATTATTCGCTTTCTTGCCAAGAGCTTCAGAAGAACATTGACCGTGAATGGAGTTGGAGACAGGGATGAGAGAGTGGGGGTTGGGGATGACAGGCGGCTAATCACCGTTGGATGGGAATTGAACCAAGGGCCGTCCCAAGTTTCAGGGCTACAGCCTCAAGTGAAGTGTGATTTAACCACTGTGTAAAGCCGGAGGGGGGGGGGGGGGTGGGGGGGGGGGGGTGGACACCACTTACATGTAAAAATTCCCTCTGTTAGCTTAGCTTAGCACAGAGAATTAAAATAGTTGAAAACAACAAGGCTGGCTCAAAGTAATAGACACACTGTATCTCATTTATGCAGAAAAAATGAAATGTAAATGATAAGTTGGCGGATGATTTTATTAATTCCCGGAGATCATTTTTTTGGCTTTTATGTGATCATTAAAAAAAGGAAGGTCAGGAAAAATCGGAAAAGGTTAACAGACTGGGTGAATAGAATTTGAATAGCGCTGATGCTATAATGACTCAGCCAGTTGCATACAATATGTGCCACCAGGTGAGCTACCAGGGCACACTTACAGGGCTGTTTGATTGGCCAGTGACTTCCAGGAGTCTTGCCTTCACTGTGAATTCAGTAATTTAATTTGAATCTGAACTTAACAGAAAGCTTTATTTTTGTTGTTCAGGTAGCGGAGAAGTGAAAGTAGAAGTTCTGTCATTAAACTCTTGGCAAGAAAGCAAATGATCGTATAAAATGTGACACTGTTTCTTGAAATACAAATCTCTGTAACTGACCTGACAACATGCAGTTTGACACTAAACCTCCTCAACTATTCACTTCAGCCTTTTTAAATATTCCATCCGTAAATGTGCCAAAACTTACTTCACTGACATTCCAACTTATTGGTGCTAACCTCTCTTGAAAGAGCAACGTTTAACTTGCTCTCATTTCATTTCAGTTTTGTCCGTTTTTTTGCACAGAAACAAAACGTAAAAAAAATGTAGAGTTGGCACCACAGTCGACAAACGATGTTCCAGTTTTAGGGCCGATATATTTGATATTCCTCAGAAAGCTTTGTTTTTAAACTCTCAGTGAATGATATCTTTCTCCTCACTGCTTTCATAAACAAACATGTGCAGGATAAACACTGTCTTAGGAGGCAGACTTTGAATTGGCCTCTGTAGAAATGGCCTGGTTGTCATTCTGTCCAATCTTCACAAATTAGCACTCAAATAAACTCCCTGATTGACTCTGAACTCTTATGTCTGATTTTACAATGCAGAGAATTTCTTGTTTAAAGGTCTTTCTTGTGTTCCGGTTGTTTTGTTAAAGTCTCTAGCGCAGAGCACCTTTTCCATCAGCCGTGATGTATAGAGTTTCTGAAAATCCGAAAATGAAATATTGAACACACAGGTGGTTTATTACTGATGAAATATGCAAATTTGTACTTTAATAGTTTTAATTTGAATACTCTGTAAAGCACTGTGTAGTTTAACTTTCAGGGTATTATCAAACAATTAGTAGTTTGACCGTTTGTCTTTTTTAATCTCAGAAAACAGAGCAATTACTCAGGAAGTTAGTGTTTCTCTTGTCTTTATTTTTTTAATCAAAGGATCTATTTTGTCAAATTTTATTTTCAGTGCATTAAAGAAGAGTCTATATTACATTTGGATGAATCTGTGTATTTTTTTGGGGGGAGGGGAAAAACACTTCATCACTTCAAATAATCAAATAATGTCATTTATTTACAAAGGTGATGTGCAGTAATCAATCAGAGATTACATAAGAGCCCATTTCATAAAGAAATCATTATTTTCACACTGATCCAAATGCAAACTGATTGATTGTGTATCAGTGTGTGTGTGTGTGTGTGTGTGTGTGTGTGTGTGTGTGTGTGTGTGTGTGTGTGTGTGTGTGTGTGTGTGTGTGTGTGTGTGTGTGTGTGTGTGTGTGTGTGTGTGTGTGTCACTGTGGGTGTGTGAGGCTGGTGAGAGCTCGCAGTCGGAGCGGCATGGCCACATTCGTGTCTTGGTGCCACTGGGGTGAGGCGATGTGAGTAGGCGGAGTCAGGACGCTCTGAGCCACTCCGGGCGCCTTCAGCAGCGACCACAGCTCCTCCCCTCTTGTTACTATGGCAACAAGGTCCTCTTCATTGTTGCACCAGGGCACAGACCCTCCTCTGGTTACTGTTCTCAACTTGGAGAAGAACAAAGACACCCTAAAATAGATAATAAACAGCGAAATTAGATTTACAGCTCATCTTGCTTTTCTGATTGTAGAAACATTTGGAATGTGTAGCAGACAGTCACCGTGGTATAAGGTCATGTGATCTGGACGCCAGCTTAGCCAGAGCGCTCATGAGAGTGGTGATGACTCTGGGGGCGGGGCAAACGGCTCCAGGTGTTGGGGCAGAGGAAGTGATCTCAAACAGCACAGCCTCTAACGTCTCAAAACAGGAAGTGATGAGCCTCACGGAGCAACGGGAGTCACAGGAAACGGAGAGGTACTCCCCGAGCACCCACACCTGAAAGTTCAAGATTATTGTGGTGTCATGTGATGTTATACTTCTAAAAAAAAAGGCCTTCCTCTCTGTCATCCACAAACACACACACACACACACACACAGCTTTAATACCACGTGTGTGTAGATGTCTTCTTTGCTGTACACATTTGCAGTTGCACCTGCGAACTCCAGCAGCTCGTGGGATTGGTCGACTACCAGAGAGGGGTGGAGCTTGCACAGCCTCAGAAGGTGGCAGCTAAACACCCTGCAGAGGAAAAAAAAGAGGAAGAGGTGGAATGAGTCAAGAGATCAGCTGCAGCAGAGTTACACTTCTATTCACCTGCATGTGTTTACCTGTGTATCTCTTTGATGTATTTGGGAACATTGAGGAGGAGGCTGCTTCTCTCCAGCATCACCAGAATCAAGTGCGCTAAAAGCTTATCATTGGCAACCTAGGAAACAGACACAAACATCATATCTGTCTCAGAAACCGACACTCAGCATCCAGCTGTTCAATGTGCAGAGGCTGCAGCGTTAAACTAATAAGAATATTTCATCTCTTCACCGTGACGACTGTGTTGAAAAAAATGTGAAGGAGCACTGGGACTGTCTGGGAACACTGAACAACCCTCGGCCAATCAGCAGCCTCAGCTAGCAGCTTATGCAGCGTGCTCAGTCGGTCAATAGTGTCACCTGGGAAGGAAGGAGGGACTTTAAAATACGTCTCTCATTTATTTCTGAACATTTTTCAAATAAAGATAAGATGAAGAAAAGGTAAACTAGATTGCTATTAAAGTAATAAGCCAATTATTTGGTGTGAAGATTTGTATCATAATGTAGAAACTGTAGAAACAACCAGGCAGTGTGTTAGCTTAGCATAAACAAAGCAAAGAAGCTTCTTCTGATTACCTGAACCTGCTTCCCCTCGAAGCAGGAAGAGGAAAAGCCCTCTGTAAGACGTGCTGCGAAATGCATCGAGTGATAGGAGGGCACGTCCGCCTGTGTCTGAGATGGGCTGACAGGCTGACCTGCAACACACACACACACACACACACACACACACACACACACAGACACAACACACACAAACCCAGTGAGAATGTGAGGGGGAAGAAGCTAAATCAGACGATGTTTAAGGAGTATTTCTTTGTGAGTGTGTGCGTGCACCTGAGCTGTAAGACGAGTGTGGCAGACAGACAGGGAAGGTCCAACAGAGTGTGAAGGAGCTCCACTGCAGTTCCAGTTGTCACCAGAGAGGGCAGCAGATCCACAAAGTCGTCCACCGCAGACGGGCTGTCCCACGCCAAAAACTACAGAAAACAAACGTATATTTTCAGATTGAACCCAAACAGCTGAATTTTTCTCTCTGATTTTACCCGGAACTTTCCTACCACATTTTTTTTTTTTTTACATTCAGTCGAAGTGAGATGATGTGAGAACCCAGGAGGATCTATTCAAGAATATTCACTGCAAAAGGGCGGGAGGGGTGTTGATGTTTACACTTGCGGCTGGCATATGATATGACCATATATGCATGAACACAATCGGTGTGTTCTCCATGCACAAAATGAAACTGCTTCATTATGTTTTCCATTCAAAGGCAAAAGTTGTCTTTATAGAGTCAGACTCAGTTGCTTCGTCAGCCACTTCCACGTTGTTCTTTTACATCACGTCTTGCCTCTTGAGCATCATAGTCATAGTCATCAGCTGTGAGTCGTGTTTGTAAATAAGAAAAGATTTCAGGGGCAGTCGGCAAATGAGAAAACGGCTGCAGAAAGACAGCTGAAGTAAGTGTGCATAGTGGGGTTTTTTAACTCATCATTATAAAAAGGGATCTCAGAGGAGATTCTGGTATTCACCTTCAGCAGGTTTGGGAAGGACCGGGTGTACTGTGGGACCCGGGCCTGCAGGCTCTCGAGGTTCAGCCGAAGGAAGCGCAGCAGCTCGTGTGCCAGGAAGAGGTCATTAAACAGCTCGGCAGGAAATCGACCGAACACCAGGTTCCAGACACTCTCGCAGTCCACTGCAGCCGTCTCACCTGGACACGTTCAAGCACACGTTCCCCATCAGTGTTCAAAGCAGTATAGAAAAAAACACACTGGGACACCAATATTATGCTGTTGTGGACACAGGTGTACTGACGGCAGAACTCGGTTAAGGCGCTGTTGTGGAAAAGCAATGTGTGAGGAGCTTGTGTGTGAACTACCAACAAAGATTAAAAATTGAGGCTTGCTGGTGGACGTAATCCTGATTCAGCAAATTGAAGAATAATTACAGTTCAGCGCTGTTGGTTCTGATTGTTCAGGCTATCATATTTTAGACACACTGGCCTGACATGTAGGTAGCCATCCAGCCATGAAAACAGTCGGGTTGCTTCGGGTGTCACTAGTCTAACGTACAGGTTTGAATAAAAGAAAGAGAGTAACATTTGTGTAGATGTTGATGTTGGGTACTACACACCGTGGTGGAGGTAGAACTGCGCTATGGGCAGGAGGACTCGTGCAAACGACAGGTCTGAGCTGAGGCGGCCAAAGAGCGCCTTAATACACGGGAACGTTCTGAAGACCAGTGAGGTGTCCTCCTCACACACACGGTCCAGGATACACACCGCCTCCACCAGACACTGAGAGAGGATTTAATCAATCAATCAATCAATCAATCAAAGGTATTTATACAGCACGTTTAAAAATGGAAACAGCCGGCCAAAGTGCTG